CACTTCTTCTATATATATATATATATCGATATAGATATATATATAGATATATAGATATATATATAGATATATAGATATATATAGATATAGATAGTGTGTGAGTGTGTGTGTGTGTCTAGGAGTATGTGTGCGAGTGTGTGTGTGTGTCTGTGTGTAGGAGTATGTGTGTGCGTATGCGTGTGTGTGTGTGTGTCTGTGTAGGAGTGTGTGTGTGAACGCTAACAGGAGTTGTGCTTGAGCTGGATACTGAGAGATGATGATCCGTCTCTCTGGTCGAGGATGAAGCAGAAGTGAATCAGTCGGTTAACTCTTCACGTCGTCTGAGATGCAGCAGGTCGATAAGAAAGAAACGACTCCTGAGGTTCAAACTGAGACAGAAATGACTGACGGCACATGAACGCAACACAAGCATATAAAAGATGGAGACACGGTGATTCTCCTTTGTTATTATTATGACAGAAGTCTGAATGGTATCAGAGCACACAGACCTCGGGGGTGTAGACCAGATCATATTTCACAAATATGAACTGATAAGAAACCACTCACAGATACTAATACCACGACCCCTTGTACTTCATTTCAGTGTAACTTGTTTTCAATAAAACAACGACCACAGCTGCTTCACTGGTGGAGCTCCGGGGGTCTGATTCCTCTCCAAGACACCTGAAGACTCACTGAAGTAACTGAAGTAACTAAAGTAGTGTGAAGGAGCTGAGGAGGGAGGAGTTCCCTCTCTCCTCTGTAATCAGTGTAATGCCCCCCCCCACCCCCAGACGAAGCTGGGCTTACGTAACAGAGAGCTTCACTCTGACCCAAATGGAAGAGACAAAGCCTGCAGCCGCTGTCCCGCGGGTTACAGTAGCAGCACATGAATGATTCACTGCAGCACCAGAGGCCTCCAGCTGAGCGCAGCGGAGTGAAGATCGAGACGTCTTGTTTAATATTCATGCAGCTGAGGTCTTGTTCACCAGGTAACATGGAGGTTTGTATCAATCATAGAATCCATGTTGTTAAACACACGTAGATGCTGTTTTGTTACAGCAGCTGTTATTATTCTCACCTCTGAAGTCAGTTAATGCACCAACAATATGTACTTTGTTATAATCATCTATGGTGGAGATTTGCATTAATAACACACAATGATTAGGAAATAAAAGATTTATTTTGAGCGATTAGAACTAATCTTTTCATGAGTCGTTTTAATGATGTATTATAATGAGCGTAGAGCTCGTGTTATGAAGTTAATAAGTCATAATTCATCTCTAATATCTATTTATGTTGATGTGGAAACATATTCAAACAAAACTACATTTAACAAGATTACATTTGAACACATCACGATACTAGTTTTCTTATTTCCAGCAGAGCTTGAACGCATCATAATGACCTGAAGTGAACGTACGCTAGCTGCTGATCTCCTGCGCTCGTATTGTTATTGATTATCGGGAGAGATTTATTATACATGCATCAGATATGAATAGTGCAAAGTCTCTGGTGATTGGACTCCATCCTGAAGTACCATCACTGAGCGTAGGACACTGAGGTCCAATAGGCCTGACCCCCCCTGGAGTCCAGACCCTGGTGGTGGTGAGAGGAGTCGCTGCTCTGATGATGGATCAGGAGCCTGCCTGTGATGCTGACTGGAGGTGACGGGAGGAGGAGGGTCACATCTGCTTAACGCTGACATGACAGCTGACAGCAGCAGAGAGGAGAACACTGTTTAAAGTTTGACAGCAAAGATGTGATTGGCTTCAGGAACCGGTGTGCAGAATGTGGTTGGTTACTTCAGAGTGCACGCCCCCAATCAGCTGATAGAGTAACTACAAGGAGAGAGGTGGAGGTTATGAGTGAGTGGGTACTTCTCAAGACTCTTAATTGTCGTTTCCTCGCTCCTCGCTTGAACCGGAAGTTGTTTCTGCTCCGCCATATTGACGGCCGTCCCAAAGCTCTAATGTAGCTCTGAGGAGCGAGGAGCGAGGATGGAGGAGGGACCTCTGAGGAGCCATGAGCGAGGACCCACGAGAACAGACTTCCAGGAAGTGTTTTAACGGCCGACACGCCCCCTCACTGTTCATCAGTCATGTGATTGGACGCTGCAGCCGATCGGACTGACTGACTGAGTTTAACACCAGAGTGAAGACGGATCAGAATAAACTAGTTTATATTTGATTAGGTTTCTGATTCAACATCTGGTTTAAATAAATGTTCATTGTAGTCTGAACAACAAAAGGACCACAAACAACTTTCTACATTTATTAGAAAGATTTGTGTTTTCATAATCTGATGTTTCCCTCAATAACTTTATTATGAAGACAATTAAAGTCAGAGAGAGCTGAGAGACTAAACACTCTTTACATCATTCCTGAGTGTTTGATGAGTTTTATCATTTAAGAGAAACAATAATCATATTCTGGGTTATTTAATAATAATGTCACCGTTTCAAAACGTACAGACGCAAATAATTCATAAATAAGACGATCGCATTCCGCCGGTAGAAATGGTTCCTGATCTTATAAACAGAACACAGGACACAGTTTAACAGACTACAGAGAGAAACACCTCTACAGTGGTGATTACTGTGTCTTTATTAGTTATTAGTATTATTAGTTACTGTTATTAAGTACAGTGGTGATTACTGTGTGTCTTTATGAGTTATTAGTGTTATTAGTTACTGTTATTAAGTACAGTGGTGATTACTGTGTGTCTTTATGAGTTATTAGTGTTATTAGTTGCTGTTATTAAGTACAGTGGTGATTACTGTGTGTCTTTATTAGTTATTAGTGTTATTAGTTACTGTTATTAAGTACAGTGGTGATTACTGTGTGTCTTTATGAGTTATTAGTGTTATTAGTTACTGTTATTAAGTACAGTGGTGATTACTGTGTCTTTATTAGTTATTAGTGTTATTAGTTACTGTTATTAAGTACAGTGATCATGTGAACACACACTAACTTATCAAAAGTCTCTCCAGCTGTTAAAGCCGACTGACAGCTGATCAGCTGTGATCATCAGCACCGTCATCAGGAACAGACGTCGCTTCACGTGACGCACCTGAGGAAAAGACGTCTCATGTCTCCTAAAACATGTTTCCTCGTTTCCTCTCTCCTCGCATGGTTTCCTCCATGCATCCCTGGTGGGAGGGACTAAGATGCAAGGAAAGGACCCAAGTGAGGGAAACAGGGATGACATTAAGAGACTTGAGATGTACCCAGTGTCTTCCTGACTGAACTTGCGCTTCATTGAATATCGATAACGATCGTCAGTAAAACTATTCACACTGTGGCGGTTAACGTTGAGTCTGGGTTTAGTTCTGTCAAACCGTCGAGTGTTTGAGCTCTTCATGAACTCTTTCTGTAAGTCCGCATTACTGCAGACTGTGCCTGAGGGATTACCCACAATGCATAGTGTTGTGACGTTAAACATGGCGTTACCGGAGGAAACTGAAGACATAAAACAAAAGGTAAACAAAGAAGACGTCACATTCAGTCTGGCATTTTAAATCTACACAGAAACATTAATGATGAAAGATGGAACATAAAAACACATTTATCTTCTTATTGAAACGAGTAAATCGATTATTTGACAATTAGCTCGTAAGTTTATGTTTATGGATCATCATCTCTGTCCATTAACAACAACAACTCAGGAAGAGTAGACGACAAGATAAAGAAACGTGTGTAATGGAGCTTCATGGATCCATCTTCCTCCCTCGTCACCGACGATGAGTCTCATGAGTCCTTCGTCTTC